GACAGGAGGCTCTTGCAGAAATCAGATTAGGGAACAGTCGCTTGGAACAGGGTGGAAGAAGCCGAGTGGCCAGAATTGGCTTGATGGTTGATGGATTTTGAAGGTAGAGCCAGCAGGATTTTCTGGAGGGTTGGAAAAAGGGTGTGAGAGAAAGAAAGCGGTCAATCAGGCCACAGATTGTTGGCCTGAGGAATGGAAGGGGGCGTAAAGGGCCGCTGAGCCGGGGAAGGGGCTAGATGGAGCGGGCATGGGGCCGGGAGCACGGTGACTCGGAGGGTCTGTTAAACACCCTGGCAAAGGTGAAATTGGCGCCTGAGTATATGGCAAGTTCAGGAGGGGTCTGAAACCAACCTGAAAGGCATCAGCGTATGGATAGGACTGGACAATCTGGGTGGTATCACTAGGGGAGCGATGGAGAGAGAGAAGAGGGGTTGGGCGGAAGAACCAGGAAAGAAATCTGTAAAAGGGAAGCCAAGTGGAGAAAGAATTTCAAGAATGTGGGCATGGTCAGCTAGGTCAGCCACTGTTGAGAGCTCACGTTAGCAGGCACTGTCTATTGGGTTGGGCCCAGGCATCGCGGTGGGGGCGGGGGAGAGGGAAGGCAGAGGCTGGGGTAGTGTTGGGGATCACCCTATAAAAGCAGACCCTTCTCTCCCCCCTCCGCCAGGAGCACTTCATCAAGGTCCTGGAACTGATATCCACCACCTGGGACTCGGAGCTGCACATCGCAGGCCTCAGGCTGCTCAACAACATTCCGCTGCCTGACTTTGTGCACCCGCAGCTGCGCCGGGTGATGCCTGCCTTGATGGAGATTCTTCAGTCGGACTGTATCCTGGCACAGGTGCCTCAAGACCATGGCCCAGGCCCTGCCCTCCTGCCCAGCCCTGGCACGGCATCTGGAGGGAGGAGAAGAGACCCGTGTCTTCTCTGCTCGGGCCCAGACTCACCTGCCTTCTCATGCTTTACTATTTCCTCTATTTAGGTACAAGCCGTACGCCTGCTGAGCTCCCTGGCGCAGAAGAACGACTTTCTCTATGATATTCTCAACTGCCAGGTGAGAAAGGAAGTGATGAGGGGCTGATGCCGACTCAGACACTGGGGAAGGAAGAATTGTGGATTCTCCAGACAGACTTGGCCCTGGCAAGACTGTCCCGTTCCTCTGCCTGCCTGTGCACTCGATACATTGAAAACCACCCCCTCTTCCGTTCCCCCAAAAGAATCAGAACCCATTTTGCTTGAGGGGCAGCTCCTTTGAGGGGTTTTCTAAACTCCGAGAATGAGGAATACAGGTGACAGAACAAAAGTTAATGGAGTTATTTTAATATTAGGGTAAAGTTACTTATAACAAAAACCATTATTAGGAATAGACAAAGTCACTACGTAACAATTAATGGTTCAGGGGGAATAAAGCGACTCTAAACTTATATGAACCTAATAACATAATCTCAAAATATAGACGGCAAAACTTGACAGAATTACAAGGAAACAGATTTTCTCTTTCTTCAGTTTTATTGAGGTATAATTGACAGATAAAATGGTAGGATATTTAAAGTATACATTGTGGCGATTTAATATATGTATACACTGTGAAGGATTCCCACCCATCGCCTCACATCATTCTTGGGAGGTGGTGGTGGTGGTGAGGACATTTCAGTTCTAATCTCTTAGCAAATTTCAATGACATAATACAGTGTTATCCACGATAGTCACCATGTTTTACACTAAAGCCTCAGACTTTATTCGTCTTATAGCTGAAAGTTTGTACCAACCTCTCCCTATTCCCCCCTCCTCCAACCCCTGGCAACCATTTTTCTCTGTTTCTATGAGTTTGACCTTTCCTTTTTTTTTTTTGTTTTAGATTCCACATAAAAATAAAAGTGATGCCATGTAGTATTTGTCTTTCTCTGTCTGGCTTATCTCACTTTAGCATAATGTCCTCAAGATCCATCCCTGTTGCCACAAATGGCAGGATTCTCTTCTTTATCCCAGCTGAATAATTATAAAGAAAAGTTGACATATCCACTACTGCAGTGGAAGATTTGGAAGATTTTAACTACTCTTTCAACAATTAATAGATGAAAACCTAAAACTGGTTAAGGGTATACTCGCTGGGATAACACAACAAGCTTGAGCCAACAGACATACTCTGAACACTATAATTAGTAAATGCACATTCCTCTCAAGCACACAAAACTTTATAAAAATTAACCACGCATTAAACTTTAAAGTTTGTCATGACATATTTCCCGGAATCAGTGTTATTACCAAATCACTCCTGGTTTACGACCACAACGTCCTTATGTTAGAGAACAACAATGGAAGGAAAACTGAAAAAACTCCATGCAGTTGAACCTGAAATTAGGTATCCCGGGGAGTCGAGGCAATAGGGAGCTGGGAGAACCTCAGGACTTGCCTTGGGTCTCATTCCCATCCTCTCTCCATCCCGTCGCAGGTGCACCCCAACTTCCTGAACCTGTTCCAGGCCACGCACCCCGGGAGCCTGCTCTTCGAGGTGCTGGTGTTTGCCGAGCGGCTGAGCGAGGGCCGCAACTCGCCGCACTACCGGGCCGTGAAGTGGCACTACAACGAGCAGTCCCTGCACGAGGCGCTCTTTGGCGACGAGTCCCGACTGGCTGACCGGCTGCTCGCCCTGGTCATCCACCCCGAGGAGGAGGTTCAGATCCAAGCCTGCAAGGTCATCGTGAGCCTGCAGTGCCCCCAGGACGTGATAGGGCGGCCCTCTGCCTGCCACTCCAGTCATTCCTACTTTGATAAGATGGAATAAAGTTAAGGAGAGCCAACAAATGAGTGTGGGGGAGAGGCTGGAGGGGCAGCGTCTATCCAGGGCCCTCCAGGCTGGGGAGGGGTGTCCCCCGGCATAGCCCGAGCCCTAGCAGGGCAAAGCATGGGCACGCCTCCCGAAACACATCCCCGCTTCCCTGCGTAGGGGGCAGACTCCCTTCCAAGTTGCAGGGAGCTTCAGGGAGAAGGCAGGTTTGGGGACAGAGGCCAAAAATAATCAGCAAAAGATGGTATAATGTTGGATTACTCAGCATGGGCTAGGCTGTGCCACAGTAACAAACGACCTCCAAGTTTTAGCAACTTAAACATGATCAAGGTTATTTCTTGTTCACATACTGTGCCCTGGGTGCATGTTGGGGGACAGGGGCAGGGGCAGGGACAGGGGCCAGTCGAAGGGCAGGCGTCTGTTTCATAGCATCTCTCAGGGACCCAGGCTGAGGGAGGCTCCTCATGTGTTTCTGCAACTCCTAGAGAAGGCAAAGGAAACGTGGCGGTGATCGCTGGCTCTTAAAAGCTCTACCAGAAATGACGCTCACCACTTCTGCTCACATTTCACTGGCCACAGGGGCCAGGGGAGATGAGTCTCACCATGTGTCCAAAGGAGCACTGGAAATATTTGGTCACACAGACCTGCAGGCATACCGGGGAAGAGGGAGCGCTCTGGAGTCAGACTCTCAGGTTCAAGTCCCAGCTCTGTCACTAGGTGGGTGACATTGGGCAGGCCATTTACCCTATTGGAGCCTCAGTCCCCACATCTGTAAAAATGAATATAGTCTCTTCCCTTGCCCCCGAGGAGGTGGTGGAGGCAGAGGCGTGGGTGCGTGCAAGGTTCGGCTCCACGCGTAACCCACCGCATTGCTGCTGGATGTTCCCACTGCTTTAGGAGAGGTGCTGAGACCCTTGCCCACCATGGCCAAGCTGAACTGGTGAGGCTGCCAAAGCCTTGGGCGGGCGCCAAGCCCACCTTTGTGCGCTTACATCCAACTGTGATGGGCCTGTGTATGTCAGGTTGGTGGGGGCTTTGTGCTGAACACCAAATGCACCTAATTAAGGTTGACGACAAGAAGCTAGGGGACGGCCGGGCGTGGCTCAGCGGTTGAGAGTTGACCTGGGATCCAGGCGATCAGGGTTCGATTCCCAGTCAGGGCACATGCCCGGGTTGTGGGCTCAATCGGTGACTCTCTCTTCATTGATGTTTCTATCTCTCCCTCTCCCTCTCCTTTCCTCTCTCTGGAATCAATAAAGATATATTTAAAAAAAAAAAAAAAAAGGAAGCTAGGGGAGTGGGTCGGCCTCTGTAAAATCGACAGAGAGGGAAAGCCCTGTAAAGTGCTTGGCTGCAGTTGTGTGGTGGTTAAGGTCTATGGCAAAGAGTCTCGGGCCAAGGATGTCATTGAGGAGCACTTCAAGAAGTGAACAAATAAGCTTGGCTTTGTTTCTCAAAAAAAATAAATAAATAATGATATATATGTATATGTGTGTGTGTGTGTGTATATATATAATCTTGTGAGGCTGTTGGGAACATTCTATGGGAATTATCTGCATTAATGACTGTAAGGTACAATGCTCTGCCTGAAGAGGGTATTGATCAAGGATTGGCTCTGAGGAGCTAGGAAGTCCTCATTGAGAAAAGGAAAGATTAGCAGTGGAAAGGCCCTTGGAGAGCGCTGAGTCCCGTGTTTCTCTGGTCTCTTTGGGTTACAGGCCCTAGGGAGTTCCAGAGCCCTCTGGAAAGCACCCTGAAATGCCACAGGGACCAGAGAGCATATGTAATATAAAACCATACCATGGCCCGGCCAGCGTGGCTCAGTGGATGAGCATTGACCTAGGATCCAGGAGATCGTGGTTCGATTCCCCGTCAGGGCACGTTCCCCGGGTTGTGGGCTCCATGCCCATTCGGGGGTGTGCAGGAGGCAGCCGATCAATGATTCTCATCATTGATGTTTCTCTTTCTCTCTCCCTCTCCTTTCCTCTCTCTGAAATCAATACAGATTAAGAAAGAAAAAGAAATGTTAAAAAATAAATAAACTATACTATGAAGTCTCCAGAAACAATGAAGTCAAACCAGTATGACCACCCGCTCAGGTTTTCCCATTCACTGCATTTCCTGTGTTCATTCATCGTGTTATCTGTGATCCCTTGCTGGCAAACAGTACTGGTACTGGTTGCTAATGGTTTAAGAAAGCATTATGGGAGAAAACCTTAAAATAGGAGCTATTCACAGTCTGCTACCACTTGATTCAGGAGGCAGAACATGTTGATCCAGCTGCGGAACCCCAGTGTTCCTCAGAGGCAAGGTTTGAAGGCCCCCATCTAGTCTGAAGCCAAGCCTGGCATTTTGCTGAAGGGAAAACAAACCCAGATAGAGAAAGTGACTTGCTCAAGGTCACATGACTAGTCTGGGGCAGAAACAGGATTAGACCCATTTCGTCCTGGGCTTTTCACTTTTCTTTTCCTTGGCCTGAGCCCCGTGAGAGTGGACCATGGATTCTAAGCCAGGCTCGGTGGCAGCTGGGAAAGACCTCAATGCTTCTGGCGTTTAGGGGCCAGTTGAGGACTCAACTACTTGAGGAAAACTGTCCCGTGACCCAAGACTCATCACTTGGCTGGGCGGGGTGTGGTGGGTGGAAGGTTATTGATGAGGATGGGCTGGTCAGAGAGACCCCGTCCCTACTAAGGACATCCTTGTCAGCGTCTTCCGAAGATGGGCTTGTCACCTCTGAGTGGCTGGTCACTATCAGATCTGCAGCACCAGCCCTCATCTTGCTCCAGTTCAGGCCTGAGGCTGCTCCTTCCTGCTCCTTGGATATAATGCAGTCACCCCAATGGAACTTATCGAAAGCCGACATCATCCTACCCACTCCGCAGCCAGCTCCCTGTGTTCCCATGTCACCGGCTGGGTACTGGAGGTCACCTTCAGCTGCTCCTCCCCGCCACTTCCAACCAACCAGTCTGAGCATCTCGCATCCACCCAGTTCTCCAGTTTCCACTGCTGCTGCCCTGTTCTGGGCATCAGGACTTTGGGGTAGTCATGTTCCGACTTCTGGTCCCCATCCCCTCCAGCCCTACGCCCAGGATACTCTTAGAACCCACATCACATCTCCTCAAACACCTTCGGGGGTTCCCCACTGCCACAGTGAACTGTTTCTCAGCCCCAAAGCTAAGTCACATGACCTGGAAAGTATAAATGTGCTTCCAGCCAAAGCAAGTGGAGCTTTGTTCTCGAGATGTGGTCCCTGGACTCTGTTTATCTGGTAGCTGCAAATGAATTAGCTTTGCACTTACGGCCCTTCACAATCTGGTCACCTAGTCGGCCACTAGCCTACCACGTCAAGGCTCGTCTCCAGCCAAGCCGGAGTGAACTAGTCTTGCCTGAGCTTTTGACACAAACTTCTCCCTGCCTTCCACATGCTTCTGTCCCCTTTGCACCGGGCTGGCTAAGTCATCTACTGCAGCCTGGAGCTTGCTTCAGCTACGCCAGCCTTTACTGCTTCCTGCAGCCCTTCTCATGTGAATCTCTCGTGGAATTTGGCAAATAAAAGCTTGAATCTTATCAAATTTGTTCTTTTTGCAGTGGGCCTTGCAGGCAGAGCCTGCTCTGGGTAGGCACATGGTAACAACTGGCGGATGGCAACGACAGGAGAGTTGGCAGCGGGCAGTGAGGTGGGGAGCGTGTAGTGGTTCTTTGTTGCCGTGCAACAAATAACAAAACTAAGCTCATCAAGCGCAGACAAGAAAAATCTGAAGGAGTTCATCCCCACCAAACCAGTATTACAAGAAATGTTGAAGGGACTTCTTCAAGAAGAATAAAAAAATAAAAAATATGAATAAGAAAATATTGCAAAAAATATTCTCATTGACAAAGGCAAACGTAATAAAAAGCAATGGCTCAACCACCACTAACGCTAGTACAAAGGTTAATAGGCAGAAGTAGGAAGATTATGTGTGATTCCAGCAGTAAATTAAGGGGTACACACTAACACACACAAAAAGCAAGAAATAATGACAAAAACAAACGTGGAGTGAGTAAAAATGGTAGTGATTTTAGACTGTGTTAGAACTTAAGTGACCATCAACTTAAAACAGACTGCTAACGCATGGTAACCAAAAATCTACAAGGGATATACAAGAAATAAAGAGAAAGGAATCCAAACACAACACTACGGAAAGTCACCAACATGCAAGAGAAGAGAGCAAGCGGAGGAAGAGAGGAACAAAGAGCGACAAAACCAATCAGAAGACAACAAAATGGCCACGTCTACATACCTATCAATAATGACTTTAAACGTAAACGGGTTAAATGTTCCAATCAAAAGACCAATGGAGCACTGGCCCAGTAGCTCAGTTGGTTAGGGCATCGTCCCAATATGCCAAGGTTCTGGGTTCAATCTCTAGATACAAGAGCAACCAATGAATGCATTAATAAGCGGAACAACAAGTCANCAAGGTTCTGGGTTCAATCTCTAGATACAAGAGCAACCAATGAATGCATTAATAAGCAGAACAACAAGTCAATCTCTCTCTCTCCCCCCTTCCTCTCTCTCAAATCAATAAATTAAAAAATTAAAAAAAGATGAATGGGTAAAGAAGATGTGGTACATATATACAACAGAATACTACTTGGCCATAAAAAAGAATGAAATCTTACCATTTATGACAACATGGATGAACCTAGAGGGTATTATGCTAATGAAATAGACAGAGAAAGACAAATACCATATAATTTCACTTATATGTGGAATCTGAAAAACAAATGAACAAACAAAACAGAAACTCATAGATGCAGAGAACAAAGTGATGGTTGCTAGATGGAAGGGGGCTGAGGGACTGGGTGAAAAGGGGGAGGAACTGAGAAGTACAAATTGGCAGCTACCGAACAGTTACAGGGATGTGCGTATAGCATAGGGAATATTGACAATACTATTGTAATAAGTATGATGTTAATAAGTATAATATATAATGTTATACAAGTGGGTATAAGTCACACTGGGGGGATCACTTTGTAAGTTCCATAAATG